TGGGTGAGGTTGCGATTTGTGAGTACACCCCAACCCAATAGAACATTCACAACCTAAACTAGGATATAAACGTACAAATACAAAAGTGGTATTTGCAGTCTATTTCTAACACCGGCTAGTCGTGAGGGGCCGGCAAGGCGCGAGGGGCGAGCTAGGGTGCGAGGGGCCGGTCAGGCGCGAGGGGCCGGCGTGGCGCGAGAAGGCCAGCTAGGGCGGGAGGGGTCGGTCAGGCGCGAGGGGCCAGCGACGGCACGAGGGGCGGGCGACGGCACTAGGGGCCGGATACAGCGTGAGGGAAGGGCCAGCTGGTCGCGAAGGAGCCGGCGAGGCGAGAGGGGCCGGCTGGACGCAAGGGGCCGGCTGGGCGCGAGGGGTTGGCGACGGCGCTAGGGGCTAGCTAGGGCACGAGGGGCTAGCGAAGGTGCGAGGGGCTGGCTACGGCGCGAGGGGCGAGGCCGGCTGGTCGCGAAGGGGCCGGCTGTGCGCAAGGGGCCGGCAAGGGGGCAGGGGGCCGGCTAGGGCGCGAGGGGCCAACTAGGGCTCGAAGGGCCGGCGACGGTGTGAGGGGCCGGCTAGGGCGCGAGGGGCCGACGAGGCGCGAGAGGGGGCTGGCTGGGGGCGAGAGGCCGACTAGGCGTGCGGGGCCGGCTACGGTGCTCGGGGCCGGCTACGGCACGAGGGGACAGCGAGCACGCTAGGGGCCAGCGGGCCCGCTAGGGGCCGGCGAGGCGCGGTAGGCTAGGGCGTGGGGCGGAAGGGAATGGGGGGGGGACCTAACCTACCCATGATACCATGTCAGAATACTAGAATAGTTACAAACAAGAGAGCACAATGGAGATATAGTGTTGGGGTTGTACCCTCTAAGACATACACCTATCTAGCCCATAACTTCTACATAACAACATATGTATATGTTGACAGCTTCCACGTAGGAAATGGACCAGATGCCATGCTTTTATCGATCCCTTGTATTATAGCCTTGCTCTAGAAAAGGGCTACCGTGTGCCACAGCTTCGGATGCGCTCCTGCAACTTGCTGTTAAATTATATATTGTGTTATATAATTGGTAGGCTTGATACGTTACCGAACTCTACTGTAGAGGGTACAACTCCCTCCTTGTATGCCTCTCTCTTCCTAGTCTCCCCCTCTTTTCTCTCCTCAACTTTCTCCTAGCTAAACCTCACGCCATTCCATGGCTTCCCTCCTCCTAGCTTAGTTTAACACTTGTCATGTCCCCTCCATGGCTTATTTTATCAGCATAAATCACTCTGTTTCTTTGAAAATCAAAGTCGTTTTTGGAAGTCACTCTGATGGTCGTGGGTTGATTTCTTGAAAGTTCTCTTTTCTGTGATTTATCAGAGTTGGTGTATGTACCACCCTGTGGGTATTCATATAAGGGGCATACCCCCGGATATTCCCTGTACTCCCTGTAGACACACATACGCGTGGCCTGGATTCCTGGGCGGTTTCACGCGAGCCGCCCGCTGACTGTTCGCCATTTGCTGCCAAACTTCCTGCCACTGGAAGATTCCTCGGTGCCCATTGGACACTTGGGCATTTTCTCGCATGGCATCAGCAGCACAACCGCGTGTGGCAGCTGAAGTTGCCACCGCTGGATGATTGCTGCGTGCCTTGGGCATTTCCTGGCTTGGTACAGCAGCCAGCACATCGACAGCACGCTATGCTGCGGGTAGCAATGATGCTACTCACGCATGCGCCATACAGCTCGTAGCGCATTGTCGATCACCTCAAGACCAGCTTGTCCCTCCCTTCGTTCCATCCATTCCGCTGCTTGCTGCAGGAAACCGAGTTCCCCTCCAACTCTCTCTTGCTCCTCGTAAGAGAGAGTACCCCTCTCACAACTGCCAGAGTGTATCAATCTCCCCTGAGGTAGACATTTAAGTTATTGGGGGGTTGTTGGTTATTGCTTTGTTTGCAGCCACTTTCCCACCAGAGCCCGTCATGTGTAATTCTGATGACGAGGACGATGGGGGGGAGGACGACCATAGCGCTGAGCGTTTTGTTAGGGTCGCTCCCCTCAGAGGCCTTGATTTCCTTCGTCGTGCACATGCCGCTCCTGTGTACTCGAACCCCCTCCCATCTCTCAGCAGTGAAGAGTGGGAGCGCAATCAGGACGAGGTGACAGAGCTGGTTGACTCGCCATCCAAGGCCCCGCCTGCCACTCGTCCCACCACGACAACCCCAGCTGCCACTCGTCCCGCCACATCAACCCCTGCCGCTACTCCTCCAGCCACGTCAGCCCTTGCTGCTACTCCTCCCGCCACGTCAACCCGTGCTGCTACTCCTCCCCCCACGTCAACCCGTGCTGCTACTCTTCCCACCACGTCAACTCGTGCTGCTGCTCCTCCCGCCACGTCAACCCCTGCTACTACTCCTCCCGCCACGACTACATCGGCCGCCATGACGTCAAAGAAGAGACGCCGCTATGAGCAATCACACCTGCCATTTGCACTGCCTCCTCCTAAGCCCCCTACTCCGCCACCGCCGGAGCGTGTCACTGCACCGTCAGCAAAACCGACAGTTGCGGAGAAGAGGGCGAGGGAATACGAAAAGGCGCAACATAAGTACACCAATGATTGGCTCCCGAAATTCCCATGGCTGGTCCTTGATAAAAATGACGACGGAATCCCGTGCTTGCGTTGCAGTGTTTGCATGGAGCACGGTGCAGTGCATGCAAGATACCAGCGTGAGGGCAGTGGCGGTCGGGATCTGCAAGTCGGCTCGATGCGCTGGCACCAGGAGAGTCAGAAGCATGGAGACGCGGTGAGGAAGCAACAACACCTGCTAACGGAAGTGGAGAACCAGAAGAGGATGGAAGACTTTGTTGCGAATGACCCCGAGGGAGCGCGCATCATTCGGCTACTCCGCGCCATGTTATTCATCTGCAAGGAAGATGCGCCCATCAGCATGTTCACCCGCCTCGTGGGCTTCATGGCGCATGAAGGAGTGAAGGACGTTCCTAAGCAGAGCTACAGTGTCTACATAACACAGTAAGTTTATTAATCCCCTTATACTGCTTCTCTTTCGGGTTTTCCGAAAACCTTTGGATTTTGTGATCATCCTCTTTAACCAACTACTAACACCAGTGTTCTGTGCATGCCTTTCTCACTCCCATTCAGGTACGGTTTCAAGGAGATGGTGAAAGCCATGGTGGCTTTCTTGCAATCGCAACAGATGTCGCATATTCACGCATCTCCATTCATCGGCCTCAGTTGTGACGAAAGCACCGACAGGACGAGCGGGAAGCAGTTGATCATGTTTGCAACATTTCTGAAGAAGCGGAAAGTGGTCACCGAGTTCCTAGCTTTGCTGACCGTGGACAAGTGCGACGCGGCTTCTCTGCAGGCGATCATCCTCTCCCACCTCAAGACCCTCGGCGTTGATCTCCAGAAGATCTCTGGCATCAGTACGGATGGGGCTTCTGTGATGACAGGCGAGCATCATGGCTTGGTGGCTCGCTTACGAGTGCGCATCCCGCACCTCGTGGGCGTCCATTGCATCGCCCATAGGTGCTGTTTGTTTGTTGCACCCATAGTTGCTTTTAATGGCTCATGCGTGCATAGCTACATGCCCCTTCTAGGTAAATCCTGTCAAGTTGCTGATATTCTCTATTTTTTTTTTGTTGGCAGAGAGTCCCTGGCTGTCAGGGATGCTGCCGCGGCCTTCCCGGACTTCAAGATCATCGATGCCATCATTCGTGCATTGGGGGAGATTGTCGGCCGTTCCACCCCGTGGTATGAGCACTTCAAGCACCTGCAGATGGTCATCCACAACACCAACCTGGAGCATCAAGGACTCTACCTTATCCGGTGGCTCTCACGTGGCGATGCAATCAAGAGGCTCTGCAGCATTCTCGGAGCGGCGATCGTTGTCCTCATCGAGTACAACCACAAGCTAGCACCGGTTGTGAAGACGCTGAAATTTCACTACTGCCTGTACTTCCTCGCTGACGTCCTCGCCGAGATGAACACCCTCAACAGGTTCTTTCAGAGGTGCTCTGTAAGTGGTGGCTTTAACGGGACGTACTTTTGTTTGGCGTATCTCGTTGCACTGTTGCATGGTCTTGCTATGTGTTTAACTTGGTAGTCATGTGCGTGAGTTCAATTCCTTGCATTTTGTACCTCCGTCTGCCCTATGCCCCTTCCGTTAAGTGGACATCACCCTGGTGTCCCAGGAGGTTGACCGCACGGTCACCTACATCCGGCACCGTTACATCGAGTATGGTGCGACATTCAGGGCGGAGATGAGCAAGAGGCTGACCAAGTTCCTGCAGCGGCACGCCAACGGCAAGCACAGCATCGTCGTCGATGGCATGGACAACGAGGGAAGTCCCTGCACGCACGCATTCGAACTCTCGGAGAAGAAGCTACCCGGCCACATGTTCGGCGGCAGCATGTCGGACTGTGAGGACCTTTGCTCTGCGCTCGCCAAAGACATGGTGGCGAATGTGGAGCAGAGGCTGTGGGATCTGAAGCGGATGGGCGGCGCGGGATTGTTCAAAGTTGAGTGCTGGCCGAAGAAGGCATAAGTGCGCGAGCGGCGACATCTCTCCTGGCTCGCATCCAACGTCGCCCTCTTCGACCACAAGCTGTCAGGTAAGTCAGTAGTTCCGTTAACACAACCGTATCATTCGTTGTTAAATGTCAGTTTGCCTTGCCCTAGGATGGATACTAAACCGTTGTCCTCTGCATCTATTCCAAACCCCAATTCCAGGAGTGAACCAAAGGGCGGCCAGTCCTTTGCTCACATCATGAAGAACCACCGGGCATCAACCAGGGGCTGGCTGCCATGCTCAAGACCCGCGACTGGCCTAAGAGCTACCCCAACCTGATGGCATTGTGGCATGCCATGGCTGTGCTTCCACTGAGCACAGTGGAGTGTGAAAGAGGATTCAGCAGACAGAACGTGATCAAGTCGTGGCTGCGGACGAGCTTGTGCGATGCAAGGCTGAGCGAACTCATGACAATCAACATGCTGGACTACGACATGGACTACGCCGAGATCGTTGACATCTGGAGGAAACAGAAGACGCGAAAGCAGGCTAAGACTGTGGCCTATGAGGCTCCCCTCAACAAAGGCAAGAGTGCAGCCGAGGATTCGGATGAGGAGATTGCAGCTAGTGAGGGTTCATATGAGGATGAGGATGATGAGGAGGAGGAGGATGATGATGATGATGATGATGATGATGATGATGATGATGATGATGATGATGATGATGATGATGATGATGATGATGATGATGATGATGATGATGATGATGATGATGATGATGATGATGATGATGGTGATGATGATGATGATGATGATGATGATGATGATGATGATGATGATGATGATGATGATGATGATGATGATGATGATGATGATGATGATGATGATGATGAGATGCTGCTCTGTTACCGTGCCATGTGGATGCGAGACTTAATACTTTTTGCTGGGCAAATTCTAGATCTCTTCCAAATTCTAGACGGACAGGGTTTTTTTTCTGATAAGGCACAAAAACCCTGGCAAATCAGAGTTCCGGTCCAGGACACCCTGGATTTCAGAGTTAGCCCATGAGCTACTGGTGAAAATCAGAGTTCAGAAAAGTCAAAGATAAGCCCTGGTCCCCTCCCCACCCCATGCTAACACGGCAACACATGGTGCTGTCACATGCGGTGAGGAGCGAGGGGTGTGGAATAGAGGCGTGAGGGAGGAACAGGGGAGACAATTGGAGGGAGACACAACGAAACCAACCATATGGATGGTGCATTGCAGCAGCCAACACACTGCAGTGCACACACAACAGACCTGTATACTTGTACTTCCTACCTTCTCCTAGACCACTATCGATGTGACTGGCGGCTAAGCAGTGCGCTGATGGCATCACTATTGCAGCACCAAACCCAGCACTGCATGTGGCACACTCAACAGGGCGCGGGCTGTGCCTGCAATGGACGGGCTACCATCGCTGCTGCTGCTGCTGCTGCAACTGCTGCTGCAGCTGCTGTATCTTCTGCTCCTGAGTTGCAGCCAGCGCTGCAACTTGCTGCATGCACTGCTGCAGCTGCTGCTGCTGAAGCTGCTGCTGGTGCAGCTGCTCCTGCTGCCGCTGCATTAGTTGCATCAACTGCTGTTGATCCGGCTCATGCACTCGCTGCAGCAATGCCACCTGCTGCTGTGGCTGTGCCAACTGCACTTGCATCCCATAGGGTGCCTCGTACACTTGCTTCAGCTGCTGCGTCAACTGCTGAATATGCTGCTGCTGCTGCTGCTGCTGCTGCTGGTGCAGCTGAACATTAGGTGGTTGGTACAGTTGCTGTGGCATCACATTGGACTGCAGCAAGCGCTGCTGCACAGTCGCGGTTGCCTGCTCTGGCCGCTGCTGCGTCACAGCCTGGTGGAGCCCCGCCGACTGCAGCACTTGCAGCAGCGATGGCATGGCAGCATGGGCAGGGCTGGGTGGCATCCCAGCCATGTGATCACCCACGTGCTGGCGGCGCCGCATGGCGTCCATGGCCCGCACCACCCCTGGCGTCACTATCACCTCCATGGCGCCACTCCCACTGCCACCACCAGCTGTGCTAGCAGCGGCACCAGCAACAACACCCGCAGGACCAGCCGCACCCGCAGCACCAGCAGCAGCCGCAGCAGCAGCAGCAGCAGCAGCCGCAGCACCAGCAGCACCGCCACCCAGACTATCATAACTACCACCAGTGCCACTAGCAGCAGCGCTGGCAGCAGCAGCAGTGGCAGAGGAGGGCAGCCCGCCAAGGGCAGTGAAGGCATTCCCCCCAGCACAGACAGCAGCAGCATTAAGCGCAGCCATGCCCGGCGCTGTGCCACTCGCCACCGCTGCTGCCGCCACGGCCGCCGCCACCACTGCTGCTTCCGCCTGCTTCTGGGAGAGGGAGAGCCGCCCAGATGCACCTCCCCGAGGTGTCGCCTGCAAGGCTGCTGCTGCTGCCTCTGGGTGCTGCACGAAGAAGTCCAGCCCTGGATGCACGGGCCTCCCCCTGCCGCGTGCACCACAGTTGCTGCTCACCCCACTGCCCCTGCACCCTCCCCCTCCATCCGCTCGCATGCCTGCCTTGCCTTTTGATTGGCCTGAGCTGGCCTCTCCTCCCTGTAAGCTCTCCTCACAGCTCCCCTCCTCTGACTCATCAATCCCACTACCACTCTCACTCCCACTCCCACTGCCACTCCCCCTCCCACTCCCACTGCTCTCACTGTCGCTACTGCCATCGCTCCTGCTGCTTAGACCATCCTCCCCCTCCTCCGCCTGATCCCCCCTGCCAACTCTCTCACACTCATCTCCCCATGTGACTCTCCTCTTTTTGCCATCGCCCTTCCCCCTCGTCCTCTCTCCCTCTCCCTCCGCCCCCTCATCACCCCCTGCTTGCACCATCAGTTTCTTCCACGCATTTTGAAAAGCCGAACCTTTGGCTGCCCGTTTCCCTGCCCGCCCCCCCTTCGAACCCTTGTCACCTGTCCTCTTCAACCCAATCTGCTTCAGCTTCTTCCTCTCCCTCAGTCTCCCTCCCTCCTTCCGCCCCTGCGCCTGCCCACCACAGCCCGCTGAGACGCCCGCAGCAGCAGCTGCAGTGGGGGCAGCGGCAGTGGGCTGCAGGGCAGCGGCGAGGTGCTGCCAGAAGGAGGGGTCCAGAAGCATTGACGGGGATGATGGGGGAGGGTGAGCGGGGGGAGGATGCTGCTGTGAAGCATGGGAGTGGTGGGGGTGATTCAAGTGGGGCGCAACTGGTGTGCTGTGGTTATATAGATTGGGCTGATAGGAGTTGGGCTGATAGGAGTTGGGCTGATAGCCCCCCTGTTGCAAGGGGTGCATGGGGCGAGCAGCCGAGGGCTGAAAGCTCTGCTGCATGAACTGGTGTGGATGAGAGGGCAGTGGCTGGGAGGTACGCACACACCATGCACCGGCTGCTGCTGCTGCTGCGTTGTGTGCGGGCGACCATGCGGGCACGGCTGCTACACTCTGAGTGTGGCGTGCAGGCTGCCGCGTGCGCGCTGCTGCCGTCTGTCCCTGCGCCCATGCACCCAGGACTGTGCCCTGTGCCTGTGGCCCTGACCACGCCCTCACTCCTGCCGCCCCCAGTGGTGTCCCCCCTACTCCTGCCGCCCCCAGTGGTGTCCCCCCTACTCCTGCCGCCCCCAGTGGTGTCCCCCCTACTCCTGCCGCCCCCAGTGGTGTCCCCCCTACTCCTGCCGCCCCCAGTGGTGTCCCCCCTACTCCTGCCGCCCCCAGTGGTGTCCCCCCTACTCCTGCCGCCCCCAGTGGTGTCCCCCCTACTCCTGCCCCCCCAGTGCTGTCCCCCCTACTCCTGCCGCCCCCAGTGGTGCATGGCGTCCACCTGGTGCCGGTGCGGTGGGCCACACGCCCCTACAGCCCGCCCGCCATGCCGCAGCTGCAGTGGGCTCAAACGCACCCGCCATGCCACCACCCACACGCTGCTCGCTGTGACCCAATGCGCCCATGCCATCACTGCCATCACCACCACCACCACCACCATCATGCTCGTTCCCCCCAGCATCGCAATACCAGCCGCCTCTCCTGTATCTCGCCCACGCTCTCTTTGACGAGTTCCGCTTCCTCTCCCCCTTTCCATCCTCGCCCCTGCCATCCCCATCGTCCCCCACCTTGCGCCCCCCCCCCTCGTTGCCCGCCCCTCCGTCTTCTCCTCCACGCGCGCCAGCAGCCCGCTGTGCCACAGCGGCCCGTCCAGCGCCCTCAGCAGCGCACGCACGTCGCGCCACGCCACCCACAGCAGGAGGTCCATGCCCGCCTCCACCGCCGACTGGGGCTCACACTTCAGCCCGGAAGCCACCCTCTCAAGCCCGGCGGCTAAACTGTCAGGTCCGGGGGCCACCCTCTCAAGCCCGGCGGCTAAACTGTCAGGTCCGGGGGCCACCCTCTCAAGCCCGGCGGCTAAACTGTCAGGTCCAGGGGCCACCCTCTCAAGCCCGGCGGCTAAACTGTCAGGTCCGGGGGCCACCCTGCCAGGCGGGTTATTCATGTTGTGAGGTGCGAGGTCCGTCGAGCCAAGCGCCGTTTGGGCTCGCTCGGAAGAAGGCTGTGCCTCACATGCGCGCTCTGTGCTGCCCGCCGTGCCTGACATGCACTCTGTGCTGCCCGCCGTGCCTGACACGCGCTCTGTGGTGCCGGCGCCTGACACGCCTTCGCTGCCCATGTCCCGGGGTGGCCCCTCAGCTGCCTCACACCCCACGGGGCCGGCGTCCATGGGAGCAGTGGCACGCTGTGCAGCGTCAAGGCCGGAGACGAGGGAGGCATGGATGCCCCAGCGAGTGAGGAAGCGGCGCATCCAGAGCAGCGTGTAGGGCGCGCAGGGCGGGGGCAGGGCGCACTGCGCTCGCAGCGAGAGGGTGCGGCGCAGGATGGCGGCTGCAGAGAGACAGGCGGAGGGGGGAGAGGGCGAGGCGGCAGGAGAAGGAGCAGCAGCAGCGGCAGCAGCAGCAGCAGGGCATGCCTGTTCCGTGCCTTTCTCTGCCCCATCAGCACTCCCCTCTCCCCCCCTTCCCCTCCCCTGCGTGCGTCCCACCTCGTCCCTCACCCACTCCGCCAGCAGCCTTTCCATCCGCTCCTCCCTCTCCTCCCTCTCCTCCCTCTCCTCCTCCCGCTCCCTCTTCCTTCCCCCTTGCTCCGACCGCACTTCCCCCTTCTCATGCGCATCGTGCTCCCACTCATTCTTCCCCTCTTTCGCTCCCTCCCTCTCCCCCGCGCCCTGCCCCTGCTCCTGCCCCTGCCCTTTGTCCGTGTCCCTCCCCCTAGGGCTGCTGTTTCCCATCTCCACCTCCCCCTTCCCCTCCGCCTCCCCCTTCCTCTCCGCCTCCCCCTCCTCCCTCCCCCCACCTGCCAGCCTCGCCCTGATCCGCTCCTCCCACCGCGCCCCCAGCAGCTGCTCCCTCTGCTGCCAGATCGCCGCCAGCTCCGCCTCGCCCACCTGCACGCCCCACCTCGCCCCCACGGCGCGCGCCACCACTGCCTGCTCGCATGCCTCCTCCTCGTCCGCGCGCCGCCCCACCACCCCCTCCGCTATCCACTCGCACAGCGCCCGCCGCACCGCTGCCGCCACTGCTGCTGCCGGCGGGGCTGCTGTTGCCGCCACTCCCACGGACGGCCCTGCCTCTGCCTCCCCCGCCGCGCCAGCCCATACTTCCCCAGCCTCTTCCCCAGTCCTCTCTGCTCCACCCGCTCCCTCTGCATTGTCCTCCCGACGGCCTGCTGCCGTTCCCCCCTGCACGGCCCGCAGGTGGCGCTCCACGCGCTGCAAGAACGCCCTCCGCCACTCCTCCTCCTGCCGCTGCGCTGCTGCACCACAGCCCACACCACCACCACCACCCGTACTACCGGCAGCGTCTATACCAGGAGCAGCAGCAGCAGCAACAGCAGCGTGTGTCCCGCCGTCTCCTCTCACCCCACCACTCCCCTGTCCTAGGTCCACCTCTCTTTCGCCTCCCCTCTCGCTGCTTGTCCCTCTCTCATCATGCCGCACGCCCACAGCCCCACCACCGCACACCACTTGGGATGGCCGCATCGCCTCACTCCTCCCACTGCCGTCCTTCTCCCACCCATGTCTGCCACCGCTGCTTCCCTCTGCCCCATCGCCCTCCTCACCGCCCTCCTCACCGCCCTCCTCACCGCCCTCCTCACCGCCCTCCTCACCGCCCTCCTCACCGCCCTCCTCACCGCCCTCCTCACTATCCTCACTCAGATCAACCACCTCAAATTCCTTCTCCCTCCCCTCCCTCCCCATCCCACCTTCACCGGAACCCTTCCCTCCATTCCCCCGTCCATCTCCCCCTTCCGCCCCTCCCTCCTCCCCTCTTCCCCCCTCCATATCCACCACACCCACACACTCCCCTCCGCCCTCTCTCCGCCACCTCATGGCCGCGTGTGCTATCGCCGCCTCACTCCCCCCCGCCAGCCCCCACCCTATCGCCAGTTGCGCCACGACCCCAGCCATGCCAGGCGCCATGGCGTGCGCCAGCATGTGGCGGTGCCGCACCAGCTTGCTCACGAAGCGCCGGCTCCAGCTCGTGTTGTACGACAGGCACGCGTGTGGGTACACCCACGGAGCGATGCGGCGCGCTGCCTGGCGCAGCATGGGGCGCGTGAGAATGAGCGGCACGCCGTGCCTCCCCAGCAGGCCCCTCCCTGCAGCTGCACTCCCCACCTGCTCCCTGAGGCCGAAGAGCAGCCTCATGCTGTCGTCCATCACCCCCCCTGCTGCTGGCGCGGGATCAGCAGCACCACACCCAGCAGCATCACCATCAGCAGCAGCACCACACCCAGCAGCATCACCATCAGCAGCAGCAGCATCACCATCAGCAGCAGCAGCAGCAGCATTGTCGGCATGAGCAGCGGTGCCCCACTCATGGCCAGGCGGCCAGGAGATGTGGGTCTTCCTCATGAGGATGCCGGCATTGAGCTCGAGGATCCACTGCTGCACCACCCACTCCACCCGCCCCCGCCGCCCACACCGCTCCCGCTGCAGCCGCAGCGCCAGCGGGCCCTGCAGCATGGCGAAGGTCAGGGCGGCGGGCAGCTGCATCCACCTGGGGGGGAGGGGGAGGGGTGAAGAAGAGGGCGTGCTGCCTGGGGAACGAGTAAACGCTTTGTAAACGGCTGCGGGGCTGCGGGGAGGTGCATCCACCTGGGAGGGAGGGCGGGCGGGAGAAGCGGGGGTGGAGCGTGGGGAACGAGTGAAGGGCTCGTCACAGGCGAGGTGGAGAGAGACGCTGGCATGCATGCAGCACATGGGCATGCAGGGAGCACAAGGGCATGCAGGGAGCACATGGGCCTGCACCAGGGAAGCCTTGAGCGGAGGGGGGGAAGGGGGGCAAGGGCAGGCGGGAGGCCTCACCTGGTGGTGCGGGCGGGCATGCGAGCAGGGCAGCGTGCGGTGGATATACTTCCCCACGTGTGGGGCCAGGCAGCGGGAACGTGGCCATGGGGCGCCGTGGGTGGGTGGGTGGGCAGCGCACCTGTGGGTCTGGGCGCACCTGTGGGTGTGGGCGCACCTGTGGGTCTGGGCGCACCTGTGGGTCTGGGCGCACCTGTGGGTCTGGGCGCACCTGTGGGTGTGGGCGCAGCTGTGGGTCTGGGCGCACCTGTGGGTGTGGGCGCACCTGTGGGTGTGGGCGCACCTGTGGGTTTTGGCGCACCTGTGGGTGTGGGCGCACCTGTCGGTCTGGGCGCACCTGTGGGTGTGGGCGCACCTGTGGGTCTGGGCGCACCTGTGGGTGTGGGCGCACCTGTGGGTCTGGGCGCACCTGTGGGTCTGGGCGCACCTGTGGGTGTGGGTGCAGCTGTGGGTGTGGGCGCACCTGTGGGTGTGGGCGCACCTGTGGGTTTTGACGCACCTGTGGGTGTGGGCGCACCTGTGGGTGTGGGCGCACCTGTGGGTTTTGGCGCACCTGTGGGTCTGGGCGAGGACGGCCAGCAGGTCGGCGTGGGTGAGCGCCACGCCCCACGCGCGCGCCACGGCGTGCAGCACATGCGCGTGCGGCAGGTGGGGGCGCGCCAGCACGGCCAGGCAGATGGCTCGAATCCTGCTCAGCGTCAGCCCTGGCAGGTGGCGCGTGCGCACTGCGCCGTGGCTGGCATCCCCACACACCAGGTACACCTGCCTCCCCTCCTCCTCTCTCTCTCCCTCAACCTCCGCGTCCTGCACCACTTTCTCCGCCCCCCTTTCCTCCCCTCGCACCCCCCCTTCGCCCCTGCCTTGGGCCGTGCAAGCACCTCCACTCCCACCTCCACTGTCTTTCCCCCCTCCTCCACCTGCTTCCCCTCCACCTGCGTCCCCTCCACCTGCCTCCCCTCCACCTGCCTCTCCGCCACCTGCCTCCCCTCCACCTGCCTCCCCTCCACCTGCCTCTCCGCCACCTGCCTCCCCTCCACCTGCCTCCCCTCCACCTGCCTCCCCTCCACCTGCCTCCCCTCCACCTGCCTCCCCTCCACCTGCCTCCCCTCCACCTGCCTCCCCTCCACATGCCTCCCCTCCACCTGCCTCCCCTCCACCTGCCTCTCCTCCGCGCCCCCCTGCCCCGCCACCAGCGCCACCATGGCGGGTGGGCGCGCGGTGGAAGTCCGGCAGCATGACGCTTTCGTTCGCCAGCACGGCCCGCAGCTCCTGCAGCTCGGGGGTGCCGATGGCTGGCAGGCTGGACGGGGAGGGCCACGCTCGGGGGGGCACATGGCGGTGGGTAGAGGGAGGTTGGTGATGGGACCGCTCTGCCATGGGGGAAGCACCTCGGTGGGGCGCAGGACACCCACGGGGCTCCCCGCCAGCAGGTGTCCCCCTTACAAGCAGCCCCGCGTCGATGACAGCCTCCTCCACCACATCCCGCGGCAGCTCGATGGCGTGCTCCCTGGCCAGCCGCATCAGCACCGCGCGCGCCCGCCGGTACGGGTTGCTCACCCCCGGCAGCAGCCCCATCTGTTGGTCCCTCCACTCGCCCGTGCTGCCACCACCACCACCAGCAGCAGCGCCCTCATACCCGAGCCAGTCCTCCTCATAGTCCTCCTCGAAGTTCTCCTCCTCCTCATCCTCATCATCGCTCGTTGTGCCGTCCCTTCTGCCGTACTTTGGCCGCTTCTTCCTCCTCCTCCCCTCCTCCTCCCCTCCAACCCCATTCTCGCCCTCCTCACCGTCTTCCCCCTCTCGTTTCCTCTTCCCCCCGCCCCCCTCCCCAGCGCCCCTGCGCCCCTCCGCCAGTCGCAGCAGCAACAGCCCATAGCGCCGCGCGAACCGCCCGCCCCACTCCGCGGTGCAGCGCCCCTCATCCAGCCCCAGCCCCCGCGCCACCTCCTTGGCGCGCGCCACCAGCTGCTCGCGGCTCACGGCGCGGCCCTCGCCCTCCTCGCGCGCCAGCACCCACAGTGCCACCGCGTCCTCCAGCGCGCGCTCCCCCGCATCCCCCGCTGGCAGCGCGCCCGCGCTCAGCCACTTGCGGCTCTCGGCGGCGATGGCGCGCACGTGCTTGGGGACGAGCAGCGCGCCGTAGCGCGCGTGCACGGCGGTGGAGACGATCTTGGCGCTGAGGAACGGCCGCACGCACTTGAGCATCGCGATCTCGTACCGCAGCCGCTGGCTCGCCACCGCCGCACACACGCCCGAGCTGCCCATGGGCCCTATGCGCGCGGCGGCCGCCGTGAAAGGATCAGGCGCGCTCGCCTCTCCGCCGCCCACCCGCGATGGATGACCCCCGTCGGCCTGCCCCGTGCTGCCCCCTCCCCCGCCGCGTCTGCCCGCACCTCCCTGGGCACCGGCGCCACCCGGCACTCTCTCTGCGCCCTGCGACCCCTCATTCTCCCGCGCGCCATCTCCCCCCTTCTCCCTCCCCTCCCCCCCCTGCGTCCCCTTCTCCTCGCCCGCCCGCCCGCCCGTCTCGTGGCCGCACTCGTCGAGCCCCGCGTCGGCGAGCGCGGCGTGGCACCACCACGGCTCGAACTCAAACAGCGCCGGCACGCCGAACCCACCCCCGATGCGCTGCGCGTGCTTCTGCACGCGCCGCAGCACGCTCACCCTCGGCGGCGCCGCCTTTCCCGCCGCCGCCGCCTTCGCTGCCAGGCGCGCGCGCGTCTCCCGCGTCCACCGCGCCAACTCCGCCTCGAGCGCGGGGTTCTTATAGCGAACGTAGCCGCTCTTCCCCAAGCCCGGCTCGGCGATGGCCTTCCGGTAGAGCCGGTCCACGTGCGCCGCGCGAAGCCGCGTGCCGTACTGCGCGTTGAGGGCCGTCGCCAGGTGCTCGTTCGCCAGCTCCGGGTGCGCGCGTCGCACGGCGACGATCTCGCGCAGCACCAAGGGGCTCACGACCGGCATGCCGCACGGCTTCTTGGCGTCGCGCGGATCATCCATCGCGCGAGGTGCCACGCGCCGAGCTAGCCGCTCCGACCCACGCTAGCTAGCGCGTCTACAGATAGAAGGCTACCAGTTCTGTCGCCAGAAGCAGGACGCTTGCGTACGACAACAAGCACACGAGCATTATCGCATCGCGCGACGATTCGAATAGCAATCGACATTTGGTGTGGGAAACGTGGTGAATGGCGGCTGGGGAACATGACTGCGCGAACAAGCACAAGGGGAAATTGCGACTTAGGCTTGCAGCGGGGGAGGGGTAGGAAACGAGATCGCTGGGGTTCAGGTGGGGTCACAGACTCACAGCGGCAGCCGCTGCAGGCTCGATCCGAGCGAGGGGGTTCATGTTGGGCTGTGTTGCGTTTCGGGAAACTCCGAGATATCTTTCCGTGGACACTATGTCATATCAGCAAATTTCGAGGTTTAGAATCCAGTCCCCTGATAGGTGTTTCCACTGCCCTAACTAAACAACATGCAATCTCATCTGACTAGCCAAGCACTTAGCAGAGTGTTTCCAGGCACCCGTGCCGGGCATGTCAGCCAACTCGACCGAGGACAATATGGGCGCAGGAACTTACTGAGGGAGATTCCTGACACCGGATGCTGACAGGAAAGGGAAGCGGCCATTCATGTAATTAGGTCAAGTCAAGTTGGGCGGGTAAATTCGAAAGGCGCGAGAACGAGCGAGTCTGGTACTGTAGCCAGGTTCGCGATGATCAGCAGTTTGGAGGTTTCCGAACACCATGACACGGAGGACTACAAGCTGGATCACCGAAGAACGTCTTCGAAGCAATTACCCCTACTCTCAACGTCGTCCTCACCTATAGAGTTGACCGTTAAGTACATGAAGGCATTAGCTCTAAACTATAATATACCCACGCAATTTTCCAAATCTTCAGATTATAAAAGTGACACTTGTTACGATACCTACATCCATCCAAGATGCCTAAGTACAAGTTGATTAAATCCTCCGTGTATGATTAAAAAAAAAAAAAAAAAAAAAAAAAACAAGAGGCGACTAAATCGTCTTAGGGTTGCGGAGCTATCTTTGCCGGTTTGACAAATTGAATAATTTTATTTTGCATTTTACATCGAGATTATGACTATTATCATTTGATGTGATATTAATTTACAATTTTGCATCAAGTCTTATTATATTTTACTAATATACATCCTTGTTTCTCAAAACTGTACATCTGATGTTTTAATAGCGCAACACATTATTCCTTCCAGATTTGATAGAGCCAGCTCGGAAATCGGGGGATGCAAAATACATACCGGAGAGTCGAACCCAAGACTTCCGAACGGGTAAACCCTATACGCTACCCTAAGACGTCAATTAAATACATTAGTAATTATTGTTTCTTTGTTTTTTGCGACGAATCAGAATGCTCCTTAGGGTTTGTTCTTTTTTCTCGCCTCGTCCCCAGCCTCGCTTCTCACGTTGAGTTTTCAGTCACGCCACCTCGGAACTAGTTTCCTACCCAAGGTAAGTCGTTCTATGTGTTCCCTTATCTATTTTTAAACTTGTTTTTCCGTCTCTTTTAGTAAGGGGTTCCATCTCGTGTTTGGGGGGGGAAATAGCAACGGGATTGACGGGGGGAATGGCGACGGAATTGACGGGGGGATGGCGACGTGATTGACGGGTAGAATGGCGACGGGATTGACGGGGGGAATGGCGACGGGATTGGCGACGGAATTGACGGGGGATTGGCGACGGCGGCATTGACAGCGGGGGACGACGGGATTGATGAGGGGATAGGCGGGGACTCTCTCTCGCTCTTTCACTACCTCTTTTTCCACCTCTTTCTTGATCTCTCTCTCTCTCTCTCTCTCTCTCTCTCTCTCTCTCTCTCTCTCTCTCTCTCTCTCTCTCTCTCTCTCTCTCTCTCTCTCTCTCTCTCTCTCTCTCTCTCTCTCTCTCTCTCTCTCTCTACCTCTCTTGCTCTCTCTATATATACCCCTTTTTCTACCTCTTTCTTGATCTCTGTTTTTCTCTCTCTCCTCTCTCTCTCTCTCTCTCTCTCTCTCTCTCTCTCTCTCTCTCTATCTCTCTCTCTCTCTCTCTCTCTCTCTCTCTCTCTCGCTCTCTCTCTCTCTCTCTCTCTCTCTCTCTCTCTCTCTCTCTCTCTCTCTCTCTCTCTCTCTCTCTCTCTCTCTCTCTCTCTCTCTCTACCTCTCTTGCTCTCTCTATATGTACCCCTTTTTCTACCTCTTTCTTGATCTCTGTTTTTGTCTCTCTCTCCCTTCTCTCTTTCTCTCTCTCTCTCTCTCTCTCTCTCTCTCTCTCTCTCTCTCTCTCTCTCTCTCTCTCTCTCTATATATATATATATATATATATATATGTATATATATATACCTCATTTTCTACCTCTTTCTTGATCTCTGTTTCGCACTCACTCTCTCGCTCTCTCTCTCTCTCTCTCTCTCTCTCTCTCTCTCTCTCTCTCTCTCTCTCTCTCTCTCTCTCTCTCTCGCTCTCTTTCTCTCTCTCTCTCTCGCTCTCGCTCTCTCTCTCTCTCTCTCTTTCTCTCTCTGTCTCTCTCTCTCTCTCTCTCTCTCTCTCTCTCTCTCTCTCTCTCTCTTCTCTCTCTCTCTCTCTCTCTCTCTCTCTCGTTCTCTCTCTCTTTCTCTTCTCTCTCTCTCTCTTTCGTTCTCTCCCTCTCTTCTCTCACTTTCGTTCTCTCTCTTCACTATCTGATATGTCGTTCATTTCTTCAATCCTCGTTGTCATTTCCCGTATTCTACCATGTCTTGTTTTTTCAATTAACTTCTATTCTTTTCTTCTTTTTTCCACGTGTGTTGGTGCATCAGGAATGCGTCAGGAAGAGATCTCTGGTTTCCAACAGTGGTTTTGATCTAGAATAACATGTTTTAAATGTTTTATGCTTCGTGCGATATTTCTTTCTCCTGATGCATCTTAGAGTCCATGTATTGTGTTAGTGTTCTTTTTCTTTTGCTTTGTATTGGGATGTGACATTTTTCCGTTTTGCTACTGTTTGTTTGATAGACGGGTGGTGCATTTTGTGTATGCAAGAAAGTGGGTTGTATTGATCGTCTCAAGTAAGGTTCTTTGACTTTCCACCCTGAGTGCAGTCATTTGAACTGGAGATGATAAGTGCAATCCATTTTGTTGTTATCATGAAATGCATTGCCTCAAAATATATCGTGTGACTTGTCCACTAGGCTTTCGATTTCCCCCACTTAATTGGGGAAGCGATTGCTTATTTTTGTCGCCGACAAAAATACGCGTTAGGCAATTATGGAAAACATTTACAATTTTTGTTTTCCATAATTTTTTTACCAATAATAGTGTAATTGATAAATTACTCTACATTACAGATATAAACGAAAATCCCATTCAGATAGCTTAGGAAGAGAGCTTTTTTCTTTCCTTTTTTTCTTAAAGCACAAAACAAGAAATAATGGAAAACATGAACACATTTGTTTTCCATTAATGTCTATTTTTAAGTATAGCATTATACGTAGTTTTAGTATGGCACTTTCATCCAACTATTTACATAGTCAAGTTGATGAATCCATATAGTTAAGATGAATGAACCTACTA